GCCTCCAGACTAGAGAAGTCTGAGCTGATTTCCTCAGGTGTACAGAGTCCTTTGGATCCTCATGCGTTCCCTGTCTCCAAAAACCAAAAAGACACTATCAAGATAGTGAAGGGCCAGAGATGTAGCTCAGTGGTGCTGCACCTGCCTGGTGAGTGCAAGATCCTGAGTTCGATCCCTGGTACTGCAAAAAGAAAAAAGACAGTGAAAAGACAATCCACAGAATGAGAAAAAATATTTATGAAACATTTGTAAGGGATTAATATTCAGAACATATAAAAAGAACTCCTATATTTCAATGGCAATGAAAATTACCCAATTAAAATAATAGGCAAAGGATTTTAATAGCTGTTACTCTAAAGAAGATGTACAGATGGTCAGTAAACGCATGAAATGATGTTCAGTATCACAAATCTTTAAGAAAACACACATGAAAACCACAGTGAGATGCCACTTCACATCTGGTAGGCCAGAATTATGTAATTTAATTAATTTGATGGTACCAATATTTGATCTCAGGTCTGGTTGTCTCTCTCTTTTTTTTTTAAGTTTTTTTTTTTTGGACAGGGTTTTGCTCTAATTCAGGCTGTCCTTGAGCTCATTATATAGCCCAGGTTGGCTTCAAACTTGCAGTGATCCTCCTGCCTCAGCCTCCCCAAGTGCTAGGATTACAGGTGTGCACCACCACATCTAGCATGGTTGTCTCTAAAGTCTGGGCATTTGCATGATACTGTTCCATGTGTTTGCAGAGCTTGAGTACATATGTGAAGTTGATTATCTTTGATTTCTGAAACTGCCCCACCCTAATTCTATCCATGAGAGGGATCCCATCATCACCATTTTAACAATAGCCTTATACAACTCACACTTCCACCAATACTCAAATGATTAAATAAATGACCTCTGTATAAGCTGGAAGTGTCCTTGTTCTGCTGGATGCAGTTACTGCATGCTTTTTATATAACACACTAGCATTCACACATCCAAACAAAGCTGTGCTTAGAAGCAGTGACAACACACTCCAAGAATATAGCTGTTGCTCAAAATGTGTGCAGCAGCCTTTAATCTGCATTTAAAAAAGAGCTTCAGTGCTTTAATTATCACTTTTTTTTAACCAAAAGAATCATTCCCCATATTTTCTACCCATTTTATTCATCACACATGGCACTCATAGACCTCTGGCCACCATCACAAAATAAACCCACCCACAAACGGTGAGACTGTACCCTCTGATGAATGAGATGCAAGGCAGTGGATTGCACAGGGGGCTGGAAAGACTCCTGAGATTTGGGATGATCTTAGTTAAAAGTCCTTAGATGGTACCAATCCAGCAGGTACAGATGCAGGATTTGATCCCTGTCTACAAGATAAGGAAAGGTGGAGAGAGCACTTCAGCAACCTTTAAGAAGCAGATGGGTCCCAGATGACACCCTACCCTGCCCAAGTAACGCTCTGGAAGCAGCAGGCCTGGACCTCAAGGGAAATCAGAGCCATGCAGGTGAGAGTAGACAGTGTTCTAAGCAACAAGGCTGGAAAGAGTAGGGGCAGGGGCAGGCATTCAGTAAGAGGGGTGCAAGGTACCAGTTTGGAGTAGAAAAGAAAAGATTTGAGAGCAGAGGTTCCTAGAAGGTTGAGGGGGGCAGGCCCTGAGTAGCCCCTGGAACAAGAGTGCTCGGTGGCCAGGGGCTTTTTATCCAGAGCCAGGATAAATGCCTCTGGATAAAAAGCCCCATCGGTCGGTGTGGAGGCCTCAGCATGAAATGGCTTGTGCCTTCAGCCCCTGCTCTTCCTACCACACCTGGCTGTCTCTGAACATCCCTCCTTTCCAAAGTTCCTTCAGAAGAGGTGATTCACTAGCCAGGTCACACACAGTACAAGGTGTGTCTGCTGCCATAACCCCGGCAGGCTTCCCAGTAGGAGGCTCATCCTAAGACCAGAGTCCTGCCTGCAGGCCTGCTCTTAGGACCCTTTTAGGCCAGCAAGGGGAGAGGCCAGCTGGTCAGGGGCCATCAAGTGCTAGTCATCATCTCCTTCACAGAATTCAGGCTGTAACATACTGAGATTGCTCTTTGGTAGGACCCCAAGGGACACAGTCTTGGGAGGCTTAATAGAGGAAATATTAAATCAATGAAACCTCATTTCCAAGTTCAGTTTAGCAGCAGAATCCATTAACCTTATATTCACCCTCTCCCTTCCTCTAATAATACCAGCAAGGGGTTCAAAGGCATGATAACTTATCCTCAGGGTCAGTGCATTCTATTCAATTACTGGGGTTCTGAGTTTTCAAGCAAAAAGACATATACTCATTTTGATTATAAGAAACCAACCCAAAAAGAACACTTCTTTCTTTTCATTTTGCTGGAAATGCCACACAAACAAAACTGGATATTGGGCTGTGCTAAGATAGACAAGGGAAGAAGGGCTGGCAGAGCAGCGCAAATCAGTTCTTATTTTGCTCTTCATAAAAGAATTTCCAGCAAATGGGAACAAGTTTTTATCTGATTGCCCCTGGAACTGAGGCCACTCACTGTGGGCTCCCTTACACGCTTTAGTCCCTAGGCCAGAGGAAAGCAAAGTTCAATCTCATTTTTTTTATCATCCAAATTGTCACATTCTAAAATAAAACCTGGTACAATAACAGAAACACAGTTTTCCAGGGAGCAGTGGAGCAAGTCATTCCCACCAGCTAGCTGTCTGGGATGGATAAAGATGAAGACACCAGTGATGCTGGTTGTGAAATGCTGAGCCCTTTGGTAATGTGCTAATAGCCAGAACTGGGCTGGGCCGGTCAGGGCAGGGATATTCAGTTACAGCGCCCATTAAACCTTCAGTGCAAGAGTAGCATATCCTGATGTGGTTGCCATGGCATTTCTTTTCCATTCAGAAAAGGCCATCTCCTGCCTCGTACAGGACAAGGGTCAGAATGCCCCGAAGCCTTGACTCTGACAGAAGCCTTGACTCTGACAGCGGTGGTAGTACTCTCTCACAGTATTCTCAGCAAAGTTTTGCTCCCCAGCCACCTCTCCCATGCAGTCTGAAACCTAAGGCAGTCCTGGTGGGAGGAGCGTCACAGTCCAGTCCGTTGGTTTCTTGGCTGCTGCTTTCTATACTTTGATGTTAAACATAGTGACTTCAGAAGCAGACAGCACCAGAAAGCAAATTAGGGCTGGTTTTAAACGTTTTGCATTCAGCAAACATCCTTTTGGTGGGTGGAGAAGAAAACAGCCCCGTTATCTACCTCCCCAACAATCAGGTATAGGTGGAAGCCCAGGGATACCAGCACACATGCATGGCATTCCAGGATGTTCCACACCAGGTGTGGAAAAAGAGGAAAAGGGTTTTGATGGGTAGGGAGCTCATGAGAGAATGAGCTGATAATAAGAAATGAACGTTCTGGATTATTACCTGCTAGTGAGGCACATTGACCTCTACAAAGAAAAAGGTGGAAAGAAAAATCAATTCCATCATTCTACACAGAACCATTGCCTTTTGCCTCAGATTCCTAGCAACACTTTGTGATGTTAATTGCAGTTGCTCCCACTTCCACTGGAGAGACAAGAGAATGCATTTCTTACCCTTGCTCTTTATAGGACATTCTTTTCTGTAACTGTCCCCACCCTTCCTCATCCTCCTTAAAAGGAAAATAACAGGGCTGAAAAAAGTACAAGGGCACACGAAGTGAAGTACCATCTGACTAGCCCCCAGACTACTCCAAGACAGTTCTTTCTACATCTTCATGGCAAAGTAAAAACCACATAGTCCATTGCCATTTACTCAAGGTTGATAGATGCCCATGATGTGACATCCAGCATCCTCAGAGCTGGGAAGAGGTTGGGACCCTGCTTCCATGAGTCCATGTAATGGGTGAGGCAGACAGGCAGGCAGTCACAAGATAGTCCAGCCTGGGCTGTAGCAATCCACCTTAGATATTCTGATACTTGTACCCTGGTACCAAGTTGTTGCAGAGGAAATGAATGTCATCCAACCACACTGTGATAATGATGTATGCGAAATCTCATTGAGATCCTGATTTTAATTTTTTGAGGGCCCAGTATACTATTTTCCATAGGGCTGTGCTTTTTTACACTTCCAACAACAGTGCAGAAAAATTCCCTTTCTTCAAATCTTCACTATCATTTATTGTTTGTGGTACTGAGTATTGAACCCAGGACCTTCACACTAAGCTACAGCCACAACCCTTTTTATTTTCTTTTCTTTTTTGGGACAGGGTCGCACTAAATTGCTGAGTTACCAGACTGGCCTTGAATTCACAGCAATACTCTTGTCTCAGTCTTCCCAGCACTGGAATTACAGGCATGCACCACTATGCCCACGTTTTTTTTTTGTTTTTGTTTTTTTTTTTGTTTTCTTTTTGAGACAGGGTCTCACGAAGTTGTTCAGGCTGGCCAACTTGCAAATTTGTAGTCTTTATGCCTTGGCTTCCTGAGAAAGTGGGATTACATGTGTGCACTGTCACTCTTGGCTAAAGTTGATTTTTAATAATTATAGCAGCAAATACCTTCAGAGGACCATCTGAATGTGAGGCTATATTCTGAATGTTTTATATAATTAATCCATTTAATGTTCCTTACAATGCTATGGGGTAGTTAACTGTAGTTTTCACTCAATTGGCACCTAAAATTTAAGTCATTTTGCCAAGGCCACATAACTAAAAATGGGTGGAGCCTGATTCAAACCCTGTGGTTTGGTCCATAGTCTGTAGGCTCATAAACTTAGCATTCTTACATGTTGGGTGGCTGTGATGGCTCAAGCCTATGGCACGCTTTCCAGTCTGGCATTGGAGAATAACAGCCTACAATAGGATGTTGGCCCACAGCTCTTCCCTGGGTGTTCTCCTGTGAGAGCACAACCCCTAGATAAGCTCTGTTGGCTCAGCCCATCTGTTCGTGCAGAGAATATAGTGGTTTGGGTCACTTCCCATTTCTTGCGAGGGCCCCTTGTTTCAGAAGAAATGCAAACCAATTTTCTCTCTGATTTTACAGAAAAAGCAACAGATGGCTCCTTGCAGAGTGAAGACTGGACATTGAACATGGAGATCTGTGACATCATCAATGAGACAGAGGAAGGGTATGTGCCCTACCACCCTGCTTCTGGGAAGCTCTCTTGGCTCTAGGGGCAGTCAAAACCTGTCAGGACTCAAGGGTGACAGGTTTGACTTTTTCTTTTGAGTTTGTCCACTCTGACATTTAATAAACTGTTACTCTTAATGATTTGTCCTCTTTCTGTCCATCTCTCCCCCTCTCCCCCAGAAGCAGTCTTGAGTTGAAGCAATGACAACCTCTTTTAACCATATGCCTTGAATCACAGGTGGAGAGGCTGCTTGGTTACCTGGCCCACAGTGGTCATTCATTTCAGCAGCCAGATTGTTACCTCTTCCCACCACTCCCCGCTTGTTCCTGTCTCCCCTTAGTAGACATGGGGCTGTCTTTGCCCTGGTTTTCTGGAGAAGACCCCAGGAGTAGGGGTACTGCAGTGCACATGGAGGGAGGGCCAAGTCACACAAGGCAGGGTGTGAGAAAGGGGCACATGGCTCAAAGCAGTTGGGTTGGTTGGTTTGTTAGCTTACCCCCCTTGAATTCTGCCCTACTGATTTGTTATTATGGTCATCGTTTTCTATGTCCTCTTCTATATTATAGCTTTACTGTCTTCATACTTCTTCCAAACTAGTCTATATTTAGCACCCTGCTCACACCATAAACACTATTTACTGTCACTGTGCCCTCTTCAACCCAAGGAGTGAAGAACACAGCCGAGGCCCAGACACTGTCACTCACTAGCCTTGCTGCATACGAAGTGACTGCCTTGTGCCAGGCCCTGTTTTATGTATGGAGCGAGACAGATGCCCTTCCCCTCTGGAAGATGCGAGGAGAAACTTTGGCAGAGGAAGCTATTCAGTTCATAGAGGCTTGGTAGCAAAGAAAGACAAGAAGGGGCTGAGGTCCCTATATCTCCTTGCAAGAGTACACCCTCAATGACCCAACTTCCTTTCACTAGGCCCCACCTCCTAGGTAGGCCCCTACCTCCCAGGACTACCACAGGCTGGGGCCAAGCCTTTAAAACATGGACCTTTGGGGAACATTCATCATCCTAACTAGGCTACATATATGGATTTGCTGTTTATCTTTTAACATGTTCATGACAGGACTATAATTTGTATGTCTTGCTGCCAGACAGCCCTGAACCACTGGTGGTACAAGCTGCCCCATGATGGACTGTCATGGATATACCATCAGTGGTTCAAGCCAGCAGGAATGGGTTATTGACTTCCATTGCCCATGGTTGTCATCATCACTTTGGTCTGTGGTGTCAGTTACCTAGCCAGTGCTAGGAAATGATCTCTGTGGCTTCATGTCCTGATCCTGTCTGCCATTCTCTGAACACTTGCCCTAGGCCAAGCCCGGTGCCCAGCCCTAGATTGCATCATCACACACACACACAAAAGCCATGTAAGGTAGGGGCAGCCTGTTCTAGTGGTAAAGAAACTGAGGCCCAAAGTGGTTTAGTTGTTTGCCAAAGACTTCACAGTGTAGTAGAAAGAGAACATGCAGGATTCAAGTCCAGGCTCACCTGGCTCCAGCCACCAAAGCTCTGTCTGCACTTCTTGTATTTGTCTGTGGGAGGCTGTGGGCACAGATTGGTGAACCACTCACAGTCCTCTCCCGGGGCTTTCTGCAGTGTTCAGGTCTGGGGTCACTCCCTTCATGAGGAGGGCTGACACCAAGGCCTGTGTGACCATCCCACACTAAGCCATGAGTGTCTGGCTGAATAACCCACCCTGTTTACCAGGCCTCACCCCAGCCCTGCCTAATTAGGGCATGCACATATGGATTTGAGAATTGCTCCTCAAGTGATTCTGGTCTTCTTCTCTGATGAGGATCCACTGACCTGGACCGTTTTCATGACTATCTCTGACATTTCCCAGATCACTGAATCTTTGTATATGCTGCAGCCTCTGAACTGGAGGGGGAACTGGTAAATGCAGTAGAGCAAGATAATTGCTAAGGCAGTGAGGTTTGTGGAGGACGGGCAGCTGTGTCCTGCAGAGAAGGGTGGGGATGAGAAAGCTACTTAGAAAAGCAGCAGAAAAACAAAGAGGTTTCAAGGCCATGGACACCAGTGGAGAACTTGCTATGACTAGAAAAAGGGGGCTCTCTGGAGTCTGGGATGGGAAGGTGTTGGAAGAGGTTGTAGGGGCAGGAACATGAGGCCCTGGAGACTGCCCCTTAGGACCCGCTTTTCCACTGAGAGCTGCCACAGTTTGGTGCCTCACACATGCCACATATCCTCACAATCCTTCTTGCCTGTTCAATCTTGGCCCACACTCAACATCTCTGCCCTGTTTGGGTTCCAACTCCAACTGCCTAATCTGTGGCAGCTCCTTGAAACTTTGCAGTTCCTCTGACTTCACTCTGCTCCTCTCTGAAGCTCCTCCCCGGGGACAGAAATAAATACATGCTCTTGTGGTCCTGCAGCATGGGGATGTTTTCAGTTTAAATGTAACTTAAGAGCCTGTGGACTGTCTGGTTGCCCCATGCTTGGAAGAACTGGGAACACTGGTCCCTGCTAGTATGAGGACCCATGACCTTGGAGGCTGTGCCCGTTTTCTTCTGTGGATATGCAGGAGGAGAGGAAAGAGGCTGTACTGAGAGGGCCAGCAGCTGCAGATTTGGGATGACTGTGTGCTGGTAGATCCCTTGAGAGAAAAAATCAGTTCATGTTCTTGGCAAGTAGCTACTGACTTTCACCAACTAAGCCCATCAAAGTAGAGAGCCATTCAGGTCCCAAATTTGCAGAAATCAACATCTTTGTTTGGAAGCAGCAGTCAAGGCATATCCCTGTTCTGTCAGTCATATGACGCAGGTGCCAAGAAGTCCCGTAGTGTAGTTACAGTTCAAGTTGGGAATGGGAAATAGGGAGTTTGGGGTATTTTAAAAATTTCTTCCAGAAGCCTCGCTTGTCTTCTAAATTACTGCATCTTTCTAAATTAGGCTTTCCTTTCCCTGACTTCCACACACATGTCTGAAAGGAATTTTTAATTTGCTGAATGGAGTAAAAACATTTAGGACTTCAGTAATAGGAAGTCCGAGATCATTCAACCTAGGAAGGACTGAGATACAGTGGCACATCCTTAGTGGAAAGCTGGAAACCACTTGAAACAGCAAGGGACTGGCCTGCAGCCAGGCGGGAATTCTGCTGGGGCACCGTGAGATGGGGCATCAGGGCTCCATGCTAGGGGCAGCTCTTAGTCCCACAGTTTTATTGAATTTGTAGTAGAATAAATTTTTAAACCTGTTAGATATAAAAGCTCCATGTAATAGCCATGCTTAAAGGGCTGGTTCAGAATCCTGTCTAGATATCACAGTAATTTTAGGAAGAACTCATTTTAAGTCTAGACCTTCAGCTTAGGACAAGTTCTTGAACAGGGCCTGTTTGTAAACTGGGGACTGCTGGAATTCTGCAAAATTTTCCCTGGGAATCCACACCAGATATATTACCTAGCAGTACACAGTTCCTTGGGTTTTGTGGAGACTCACTGAAGATTTCTCTGGAGTTCCAGAGAATTCCATGGAGTCCAGCAAGAGCCGAACATCCAGGCCTCAGCATATACCTGGCCATTGTCTCTTCTACATCTCTCGTGATTTCTCTAGAACTCTTTTCCATGCTCCCATACAGTAGTGTGATGATGGTGAACCTTTTAGAGACCAGTGCCCAAAGTGCAACTCAAAACCCACTTATTTATCACAAAGTGCTAACCCTGCAATTAAACCTGAACACTGAGGTTTTAGTTTAGGAACAGTAGCGCATACATTAATATGTTTTGTCTTCAAAGAAAAACAAATAACATACCTGCCATAGGTTCACCAGCACTGCACTAGTGAGTTAGTTATTATTTTGAGCAAATAACACTGGGATGTGGTGCAAAATTCAAGGTCTGCAAAGAGGCAATCCAGTGAAAAACTGCTCTCCCCTCTACCACCTGGTTTCCTTCCTGAGGGGCAGCTTTTGTTACCAGGTTCTTATGACTCCCTCTAGAGATTCTCTTCCTACCGCGAACCCATGCTGTGTAAAGTGTTTCCTGTCCTTTTGATATACAAATAGTAATATCTCTATGCACTCTTCTCAAAATGACTTTATGCGCACATCTTTGAGTTTGGAACATAACAATGCATAATCCTTTTCTGCAGCTATATAATAGTCCATTGGGTGGATGAGCCATGATACAGTTGAACCTGTTTAATCTTGGGGGCCATTCAGTTTGTTTTCCTGTCTTATAAACATGGTGCAATGAATAACCTTGTATTTATGCTAGTTGACACAAATCAGAGTAGATTAGTAGGTTAGGGCCCCAAAATGGGACTTGTGAGGATTTTAATCTCTCTCTCTCTCTCTCTCTCTCTCTCTCTCCCCAGACCAAAGGATGCCATTCGAGCCCTGAAGAAGCGGCTCAGTGGGAACCGGAACTACAGGGAAGTAATGCTGGCACTGACGGTGAGCGCTGCTCTCCTACAGTGGGAGATAGGGGAACCCCATTCTCTCAGCCTAGCGCCACTGTCAGGACCTTCCCTTTACCCAAATTCACCCTGAAAATGGTTCTGGGCCAGTGCCACTGGAATTATGTAGAACCTTCTGGTCACACACAGCCTTAGGTTTTCCTGTCCTCCTCTGATGCAGGGGGTAAACTTCGGTTTGGTAAATGTACACATACTAGCACAGGAGTGGCTCTGCCTGGAGTAGAGGAGCCAGAGGCTGGGGTTGGGCCCCTTTGTGCTGCCAGCCTGCCCTGAGACTCTTGGTGTCAATTCTGTCCTTATGAAAATATTCACTCCCACCTATCTAGTTCTTGCCCTAGACTGTGCTAAGCTTTTCAGATGTTGATGGTTATAACTCCTTTCTAAAATGGGTTTTATTATCCCCTCATAGGCATAAAGAGACTGGGGCTCAGAGAGATATAGAGGTTGTGTGGCCGTCAGAGCTAGTAAGATACCGAGCTGTGGGTTGCCATCATAAAGTGATCTTTTGTTTGGATAAAAACTGAAAATAGCTGCAAAGGCTCTTTAAAAAGTTAGCCAAGTGACTCCTTTCAGGACAAACAGACCAGATTTTGCCCTTCTTAAGATGTCACAGAATTAAAAGGGAGACTTGAGGTGCTATTTCTGTCTTGAAAGCCAACAGTTTTTCAGATGTGGCAAAATCTGGGCCACAGTGAGTTCTTATAATAGAAACTGTAACAGGTCAGCATGTCAGCTTCTCTGTGGGTTTCAAATAGTGGGTTATTTATCCAAAACAGTCATAACATGCTCGCCTTCAAAGCAGAGAAACTGTTTGGAATTTCTAATCCAAGTAAAAACTCAAAACTTATTAGGAAATTTCTGTCTGCCAGGGAATTGGGATTTGAATATTAAAGGAGAAAAGGCTAGTTGAAAAATAGAGCATTGAAAGCTTTTATTTATTTTTATCAGAATTTGAGTCACAATGTTCATTAAACCCAGTGTATTACCCAAAAAGTTGTTCTCAATAACTCACATCACTGGGAAATGAGCTGTAACAGGTCAGGGCATTTTCCTGGTGTCTAACACTTCTCCCCCTGTATGCTCAGCTTCATGGTAACTGTCTTGAATCAAAATCTGCATTTACTTGCCTTGCTACAGCAGGGAATGATGCACATCATCTGGCTTTTCCTTATGGCCCACCTGCTACAAATCCAGTGATACCTTTGAAACATAGAGCCATTGTCCCTGTACCTAAGGCCCTGCCTGGCACATTTTGCATGGTCTTGTGTCTGCTTTTATGGCTTTACCTACCCTATCAGTTGCTCTCAGTTTTCCTGCTTCCTTGTGGCCCTTTCCTAGTTTCATATATGTCCCCACAAGGTTTACCCAAACTAGAAGTTGGAAAGACTGTCTATTTGGACCTTCATGTCTATGCTTGAAACATCTGCTTCTCTTTGCTTAGAGGACCTACTTACTTCATGGGCTTTGGCTACATCTGAGAAAATTGCCACTGTGTGTTTCATGCCCTAAAACCACAGGGACAGATTTGCCAGGAAACTTTTTAAAAAGGCAGGGTGGTCTAAAGTGTCCCTTGCCAACCCAGGAAGGACCTCCCACATCTCCTGCTTGGGTAGGCATTAGACTGCTCTACAGCACATGGAGTTCTGCCCAGGTCATTTTCAAGGCCAGGTTGGAGCACAGTGACCTGGAATCTGCTGTCTAGAACTGAAGGACATGCTCCCTAAAGGCAATAAGGGAGGCCTGGTAGTGGAGGGGAGCTCCAGCTGCCCTGCCACATCCTGCGGCCCACCCCTCTGCTTTCAATTTTTCTATCCAAACCTGCTCCTCTGGCCTTCTGCCCTCACGAAACAAGTGTCCTTCCTGCCACTTACCTTGGCCCAACAATTACTGCCAGAGTTGGGGTAGTTTTAGAAACTCCCAGATAAAAGGGCCTATAAGGTACTTGAAGGCAGGAAGACTCTACTTCCTCTCAACAACCCTTATAGGGCATTGAGAGAACATGAATGCTTGTCACAAGCAGAGGCTAAGAAATGGAAATACCTCCTTGGCTGAGTAAAACCTACAGTAGCTCAGAAACCCTGAGTATGCTCAGCTTGGAGTCCTCCTGGGCAAGCTGAATAGAGTGTGGCACCTCCAGAGACTCAGGCAACAATGGGGAAGGGAGTGATTCTGGCTGGTGCAGAGCTGCCAGAGGTGGGACATCCTGACCCTGGAATCGTAGGTTAAGTTACATGACACCTTTGAGCCTTAGCTTCCTCATCTCTAAAATGGGATAGTACTCTGCAGGATTATTTCAAGGAACAAAGAAGGGGATAAGAAATTTAGTATAGCATGCCTATTGTCCAAGGAGCTCTCAGCTGAGAAAAGCGATGAGGAAAAATTTGCCCAGTGCCCTCAGATAGGTGGAGGGACCAGGGCTCCTGAGAAGGCTGACTAACATTTCCATCCTGCCTCTGCTATTATCCAACAGTTTGTGCCTAAGCTGGTCTCTTCCCCTTTCTAAGCTTCTTACATTTAAAAAATGGGTAATAAGATCTACTTAAAGAGAACTAATCATGTGTAAGACTGGAATTAATTACATATGATGCAGAGGGGTTGCTCCTAGTACCTGGCCCATAGCCAGCATTCAGTCAGTGTCACAATTTTGGGCCTTTCTTTATGGCCATGCTTTGTCAAGGTAAAGCCCCATGGTCTGAACCCACCCTGAGGTTTAAGTTAATTTGTGGCCAGATGAGTTTGATCAAATGAGAATAACCAAGGCACTCAAAAATGTCCTCTGTTCCTGGGGATGTCCTTCCAAGGAGATATTCTTTACCTAATCAACTGTGGCAATGGTGTGGAGCAGTGTTTGGAAAGAGGCAGGTGAAGTTGGTTCCAGAGAGCTAAGAGGGTCAGAGAACTCTCTTCAAGATTGGAGAGGCCTTCTCACTTGGACCTCTGAATTCCGTGGGGCCTCCTACCTGTCCTGAAGGAGAATAAGAAGCTGTTCCTTTACTCAAATGCATCTAGCAGACTTTTGAATTATAATCTTACAATTGTACTTGTCATTTATTGGACCCCTATTCTGCGCAAGGCACTGCTAGGTTTTTTACGTATATTCCCTCTAATCTTCACAATAGCCCAGTAAGGGAAGACTCTTTGTCCCTATCTTCCAGAAGAGGAAATAGAAACCCAGAAGGGCTTTTACTGGGCTGTACAGGGAGGAAATTTCAAGCCCACACTGGCTACTGATAACCCATATGTCAACTTTCCTGAGCAGCTGAGGCCTGTGTACTTCCCTGACAAGGGAGGGGAGGGCAGGGTTTGATCCAAACGTGGATCTTGAAGCCAGATAGCAGCTGAGGCACACAAACCATTTGTCAAGGGTGGAAGATCCATTGTCATTGCCAATTTTATTTGCAGAAGCAAGGATGTCAGCTATGTGTGTATGTGTGTGCGCACGTGTGCGCGCGCGCGCGTGTGTGTGTGTGTGTGTGTGTTTGCTTCCTCATGCACAAGGGGCCAGTAACTCAGTAGGTAATTCAGGCTGTCACAGCAGCCTCCTCCTGTGACAGAGCCTGTATCCCATTGGCTAATGCCTCATACCCAGAGGCCCAGAGAGAGGAGTTAAAATGCTAATTTTCAGGGACTGCTCAGTCATTTTGATCCCATTAAAACACCAGCATCCTTCTCATGCAAAACCGGTGCCTCAATTACCAACTAATTGCCTGATTATTGTGCAGGGACAGGAGCCTTCAGTCAGCCAGGGGCTGCTGTGGAGCCTTCAGTCAGCCAGGGGCTGCTGTCATCCCGGAGGAGAGGCTGAATTAGGGTATGGGAATGCATGTGCCGTGGAGGTTTGGTTCTGGAGAAGACGTGTCACAGAACGATCTAGGAACAAGAGCAGGGTGGGGTGAGGGGAAAACTCAGCTGCCTCCTCAGTGCCTGCTGTCTCTTCCACCTCCCACAGTGGTGACTTCTTGCCCCTCTCCTCACATCAGGTACTAGAAACGTGTGTGAAGAACTGTGGCCACCGGTTCCACATCCTCGTGGCTAACCGAGACTTCATTGACAGCGTTCTGGTCAAAATCATCTCTCCCAAGAACAACCCTCCCACCATTGTGCAGGATAAAGTGCTTGCTCTGATCCAGGTAGGCTTCTTGCACCCAGAATTGGTTGGAATAGAGTAAGATGGGGCCTCTGATGAGTGCTTGTTCTCTCCTACCATTTGGAGGAAAATATGGAGGCTTCTGGGTTAAATATTTGTTTCGATACTTACTTTCTTTATACTCATCCCACTGGAATGAAACCCTAAGCACTAGCTCTCCAGCCAGTTGAAAGAACCTTTAAGAAGCCCACTGGGTGTCTGGCCCACAAAGGCCTCTGAGACATTGTGGAGTAGGAAGGGCCGCAGGAGAGCAGTATGCAGGGTTGCTGAAGTCACAGGGTGAGGGCCAGCTCTGAGGCAGGTAGAGAGGTGGGGATGTATTAAGTGATGTTTCATTGAGGAAGTGATATTTCTCTTGGACTGCAAAGAATGAGGAGGAAGCTTGGTGGAAAGGTCAGAGATGAGAGGCATTGCAGACAAAGAGAAGAACATAGGCAAAGCCCAGAATCATTGAAAAAATATATATATACATATACATACATACACATACAGTTCACATGTTTGGGGTGTCTTCTTTATTAATGGCTGTGTAAAAAATAACCACTGAACCTGGCAGCCTGAGACAACAGATGTTTACTATCTCATGGTTTCTGTGGGCCAGCACTCAGAGCAGCATTGGTAGGCAATATGAACTGGGTATCTCTCAGGAGGCTGCATTATGTGAAGGCTTTACTGGGGCTTTCAAGAACATGCCCCATGTGGTTGTTGGTGGGAAGCCTCCATTCTTGGCTGACTGTTGGCGGGAGACCATGTGGATGTCAGGACTAGGTCTTGGAATGGCCTAGTCTCAGAAGTCACGCTATCTTTTTGTCACATTCTGTTTAGAAGCGAGTCATCTGATGACAAAAGCAGTGTGGTAAGAGTCGGCACAGGGGCTCTTGAAGGTGTTGGGCATGAGGCTTGAGAGGGGCAAAGAGGTGTCAGCTAAGGATCCATTACCTATGCCTGAAAAGTCCTCACCAGCTCGGTTCCTCCATGATTCAGGTGCACCTCAGAGATCCTGGACCACCCAGTTTAAATCATGTACACATATTCTCTCTTGTTCTCTCTCTCACTTCACCTTTTTAAAGCATGGCTTTGCCGACATTTCTGTTGTCTGCCTCATTCTCTGTTCCTAAGAGCCCAGGAAAGCAGTGTCATCAGAGTCTAGATCAGTTTATGTGGAAAGTGTGTGTGCATAAGTGTTTTTTTTAACAAGTGGATAAGTGTAGTTTACTGTGGCTCCGAGAAGTGTGGGTGACAGCAGAGTCCCCTTCCATACTTTTCCTAAGCTAATCTCTTCTTATTCTATTCTGCCCACCTTTTGAATTTCCCTCTTTCACCCTCAGCTCCCTCTCTCTTCCTTTCATTCTCCTTCCCTCCCTCCCTTCATCCCTTCCTCTGTCTTTCTTACATTACACACCCTCTTGTAGATGCATCCTACTTCCCCTAGTCTTCTTTACCTCCGCTTCTGGCCCCACCCCCCACTTCTCCTGAATTGCATTCCCCTGCCTCATTCCCAGGAATTATTGCCAGGAAAAGAAACGGTGGCTTTTTCTCAACAAAAGATGTGCAAGGCCCACAGAGGCTGTAGACCTAGAAGGAGTTTTCTTGGGTAAGGACTTCCTGGGCCCTTACCCAAGCCTGGCTGGGCTTTCTGGGGTGGATTCACCACATGATCCAGCACAGCTAACTTAAGGGGTACTATCTGCTGAGAGCAGACAGAGCCTTTGGCTGGGACCCAGAGCTCTGCCCCCGCCCACACACACATGCATAAGCCTTGCCCTGTCCTTGAAGTTTTCTGTCGAGATCCCTGTACCCCCTCATTCCATCTATTCTCAGGTTCTCTCTAGCACTTCTTCTAACTTCATCCTATGTGGAACTCCTCTGGAAATCTGCTTTCTTAATGGGGACCTGTTCTGCTTTCCTGCTCTTAGCTGTGTACCTGGGCGATCCACCGTGGGTCACAGTGGCCCCCAGGCCTTCTCCTGCCCAGCTTAGCAGTAGCAGTGTGCACTGGCCTTTTTTAGGCTTCTGTTGAATACATTCCTAGGTCAGGTGAGAAAGGTGAGGTGCTTGAGGTAGGGTCATCCAGGTGGGGTAGCTAGGAGTGGTCCTCCTTCCCAGGGGTTGCCCTGTTTCTGAGGGGCCTTCACCTTTGTCGTAGCCAGCTGGCATAGAGAAGAAAAAACAGTGCTCAGAGCTGCTGGTCTTTGTAGCTTCTGTAATTGGTAGACCAAGGAATAATCAGGTCTTCAGTTTTTTCTTTTTTTGGAATTATCTGTCCAGGAAATTACACATGAAAATATGCACAACTTAATTTCACAAGCTGAATACATTCCTGTCTCCAGCCTCTATGTTGCAAAACAGAATGTGCCAGGGCCCTGGAAGTACCTACCCCCACCCTGTGTAACCCCTAGCCTGGCATCCTACAGCACAAACATTTCCCTGCTTCTGCCCTGTGCCCGTGTGGGCTCCCATAGGAGTACTCTGTAGCCGTAGCTAGGACCTGCTGAGCTACATATGGGTGTCATGTGACCAAATGTCTCCCCGTTGCAAGGCTGCCAGGCCCTGGGATGTGAATATGCTGCAGTTAGTTGACTCTTCTCACTGTGGAGCAGCACATGGTGGTTGCAGTTTGGAGCCACTATTTTTTTAAAATGCTCCCTGAGCTTCTAGCGTGACTTTTGACAAGCACATTTGTTCGTTTTTATTGGCTCTATATTAAGGTGAATATGTGAAACTGCTGTCTTCATTGATCAAAATGGCCCACTATTAACAGTTTCATATGTTTCAATCTAATGCCTGAGAGCAAAGGTGCTGGGTAATGGCGAATGCCCAGGACCTAGCTTGGTTTTCCAGCATTTTTTCTTGTCCACACACAGTAGCTTTAGTTGCTTCACCTCCTCACTGACATACCTTGTTTTCTGTCTCCTTTATTATACCCTGTGTCAGCCTTTTTTTTGGCGGGGGGTGGTACCAGGGATCGAACTCAGGACCTTGCCCTTGCAAGGTAGGTGTGGTGCCACTGAGCTAAATCCCTGGCCCTATGTCAGCCTTTTTAAAACCACTTTGGGAAAAAATATTTTATTTACACATTAAAGATAGAGTCAAGTCCTCTGTAATCAAGAGTTCCATATCCAGGGACTTAACCAACCTCAGACTGAAAATAGTTAGAAAAAAACTGCATCTTAACTAAACATGCATAGAATTCTTCTTGTCAGCATCCCTTAAACAATACAACATGACTATTTATATAGCATTTACATTGTATTAAGTCATATAAGTAATATCTAATTTTAAGTCTAGTAATGTTTTAATGTATTAAGAAGATATGTGTAGGTTATATGAAAATGCTATGCCAATTTTTTTTTTTTTTTTGGTACTGGGAATTGAACTCAGGACCTTGCACTTGCCAGGCCGGCACAGCACCATTGAGCTAAATCCCCGAGCCTACTATGCTAATTTGTATAAGGGACTTAAGTGTTCATGGATTTGGGTATTCAAGGAGTATTCTGGAACTAATCCCTGAAGAGACTGAAGGGCCACCACTATCCTTTTAAAAACTGAACAAGCTCCCCAGAGAGTCTGATGATTTCCCCCTAGGAGAGAAAGTATTATTCTTGTCATGAGTTAAGGATGAGGGAATATGGCAGGCCAGTGTGATAATGTATACCTATAATCCTAGCACTCTGAGAAGCAAAGGCAAGAGGATCACAAGTTCAAGCCCAGCCTGGGCAAATAAGCAACTGAGCAAGATCTCAAAATTTTAAAAATAAAGGCTGAGAATGTAGCTCAGTGTAAGGGCCCTGGATCCAATCCCCATTATTGAAAAAAGGAGGAGGAGGAGGAGGAAAAAGAGAAGGAAGAGGAGGGGGAAGAAGAATGGGAGACTAGAGGCTGGGGGTGTGGCTCGGTGTTACAGCGCCTGTGTAACGTATGAGAGGCCCAGTTTGAGCCCCAAGTAATCCCAACAACAAGAAAAGGTTGGAGCAGGTACATAGGGTGACAGATACCTGACTGTCCTTCCACCTGTGAGTAGGTATAACAGGCTGTAGTATAAATCTGGCCGAATGAAAAGAGGCTCTGCTGACTACTACACAGATGCCCACATAGTACAGATTCTTGCAGTCCACAAACTCATTTTCAGGACAGTTCTTGGTGTTCATAGAGCCCAGCTGCCGAAGAAGTGGGGTAGAATGGGTCCTGGCCCTGTCCTTGTAAAGTAGGGTTTTTAAATTTTTTACTTTTATTTTTACTACTATTTGTTTATTGGTTGGGGATTTAGCTCAGTGGTACCATGTCTGCCTCACAAGCACAAGGTCCTGAATGATCCCCGATATAAAAAACAAAAGTACTTGTTTATAATACATAATGATTATATTCATTGTGGAGTACATGTACATAATATATCTCAATTCTTTTTTCCCCCTTCCCCTTTATCCCCCACTTTAAAAAAAATTTTTTTTGCCAGCATCAGATTCTTTTTATTTATTTTCTAAATCCTTATCAGGCTAATTATCACAAATACAGATTGGGCCAGGGATTTAGCTCAGTAGTTCCACCGCCTGCCTTGCAAGCACAAGGACCCGAGTTCGATCCCCGGTACCAATAAATAAATACATACATACATATATACATACATACATACAGATTAATAGCCAGACTAATGGGTACAAAAAATAAAAAGCACATAAAACAATTACATGAAATCAAGTAACACTTTTAGATACATTGTCTATGCTGGTTTGCTTCACTTAACGTTATGACCTCAAGATGCATACATTTTCCTACAAATTATCAATTTTATCCTTCTTAATGGCAGAATAGTACTCCATTGTGTGTGTGTGTTTGTATCACATTTTCTTTACCCATGTATCTGTTGGTGTACATATAGCCTGCTTCCAAGATTTAGCTATTACGAATTATGCTGTTATAAATACGGATATGTATATATATATCACTGTAATGTGATGTCTTTAACTCTTTCAGGAAGAGACCTAG